TGTTTCTGCTTGGTCTCAGCTTTGTGGCTGCTGACTCCGTGTAGGTAAATGTGCAGGTCAGCTTGGGAGCTTGAATCTTTACACCTGTGCTGTCTGGCTCTTGTGTCTTCATCTTATTTTCTATGGTCCCAAGATAAGAGGATTGAGAATAATGTATCCACTTACTCTGGCCGTTTAGATGGCACAGGATATCACCAACGAGGTTCCATTTTATATGAAAAATAAGTAGGATCAGACTATATCAGTAGAGTAAAATTAATATGGTTAATTTGATTAGAATAAGACCTTTAAATAATAGAACCTTTACAATAATTTATCATGGGAAGAGGAGTGACTTTGAAAACTTTCTGCGGCACATGCATGCTGGATTTCTCATTGGTAAAGTAATTACAGTCATTTCAAATGCAGAGATTAGTTAATCACTTTTATTTTACAGTAATCATGCATTTCAAATCAGCTCACCTTTTCTGTGATAAGAGGCTATCAACAGTATGCTAGCTAACAGACTTTTAAACTTATTTTGGAATCATTTTAGATTTACGGAAAAGTCGTGCAGAGTCTACAGTCCCACATACCCTTTCCCAGCTTCCCTAACACGAACATCTTACACGTCCACAGCATGTTTGTCAAAACCAAGAAATTAACGTTGGTGCAATGCATTAACCGCAGGCTTTATTCAGATTTCACTTGTTTTTCTAATATTGACGTTTTTCCATCCCAGGATCCAATCCAGGTCACCGCATTGTTTTCAGTTTTCATATTTCCTCAGTCTCTTCCAGTCTCTAGCATTTTCTCAGCCTTGCTTTTCTTGACTTTGACGTACTTGAGGTGCACCGGTCAGGTATTTTGTGGATGTCCATCCTTTGGGGTTTTATTGATGTTTCCTCATGATTTGGGTGGGGCTATGGATTCTGGGGGAAGAAAGCCACAGAGGGGAGGTGCCCTTCTCTCACATCCCACAAGGGGATGTGACTCCTCCCTGGTGAGGTCAACCTCGATCACTTGGCTAAGATGGAGTCCGCTGGGTTTCTTCACCAGCAAGTCACCATTTTCCCCTTTCTGTGTTCTCTCTGCGGGAAGCAAGTCAGTCAGTCCAGCCCCTACTCACAGGGAGGAGAATTAAGCTCCATTTCCTGGAGCTTAATTGACTATTCAGAATTCTGTGAGACAGACTTTCTTGTCCTCAGATGTTTATTTATTCAATCATTTATTTATATTAGCATGTCCTCATACATATATTTATTTTATTCTCTGAGTTAGAATCCTGCGCTATCATTAGTTATTTTGTTGCATGATTGTACCAGTTTGGGCCATCAGGAGTCTTCTCAGTTTGGTTCCTGTGTCTCTTTGATATGTGCCTCCCCGACCCGCAACATTTCCTTATTCTCTGGCACCGACAAAATACTCTAAAGTAATTTTGCATTTTCCCAGACTCAGTCCTGAAATCAGCTTATTTCTAAGGAGTCCTGGCTTCTTTGACTGGAGAATGAAATTAGAAGCAAATCTGTGTGTTGAGAGTGCTCATTGCTACTGGAGTGCCACTGTTTCTAGGTAGATGGACAGATTTATATTCATGTCTCTGACTCTAATCCAGTATCACAGAGTTCAATTCTAGTCTTTCTCTTTTGCTTATTTTTAACTTCTCTCTCTGACAGTGTGAAATCTGGCTCCCATTATCTGCAATTTTTTTTCTCTCATTTGTTTAATGCTAGTTTACATGTAGTTTCAGAATTGCTAACACTTAGCCAATGAGAAGGGAATTTACCAATTGGAGTGCAGTGTTTATGTACAGATTGTTTTGTCTGTAGACTTTAAATATTCAGTCAAAACACTATTTTCTAAAGTTACCTGGATCCGCAACTCTTTTCCTACTCTTTTAGCAAGGTTATGTCATACATTTGTAATACTGTTGGGTCTTTTCATCACAGACTAAATTTCATCCTGGTATTCCCCAACATCCTGGATGATTTTTTAAAGTTTGCATACAGTGAAGTTCCCCCGTTGTTGTATATGTATCTGTGGGTTTTGACAAATTCGTCAAGTCATGTATCCACTACCCGAGACCACAGAAAACAGTTCCATTGACCTAAAATAAAATAGAACACGTGTGGTTCCTTTGTAGTCATTTCTCCTCTGACCCTTGACAATCACTGAACCGTTGTCCATCCCCATAAATTTTGCCTTTTCTATAATGTCACATATATGGAATTGTATAATACGTCATCTTTTGGGTCTGGCTTCTTTTACTTAGCAAAATGCATTTAGGATTCATTCATGTTGTTGCAGGAATGAAATGACTCATTCCTTTAATTACTGGGCAGTATTCCATTGTATGGATTAGACAGTTTTTAAATATATTTGTCTCTTGAAGGTCATCTTGGTTGCTTCTAATTTTTAGTGATTATGAATAAAGCTTCTGTAAACATGGGTTAGCTTGTTTTTGTGTGAACGTAAGTTTTTGATTCACTTGAATAAATATGTAGGAGTATGTTGTCAGTTTATATGACAAGTCTATGTTTAATTTTATAAGAAACTGCCAAACTGTTTTCCAGAGTGACTATACCATTCTGCATTTCCACCAGCGATAAACTGGAGTTCTTACAGTTCTGGGTCTTCATCCTTTGGTGTCATCTAATTTATTTTAGCAACTCTAATTAGCGAGGAGTGATATCTAATTGTGGCTTTAATTTACACTTCCCTGGTGACAATGATATTAGTCATCTTTTCACATGCTTATTTGTCATCTATATATCTTCTTTGAGGTGTCTCGTTAAATCATTTGCTTATTTTTTAATTGAGTCATATGCTCGCTTGTGGTTGAATTTTAAGAGTCCTTTATATATTCTGAATACAAGGCTTTTATCAGACATTGAGTTGTAAATATTTCTTCCAATCTGTAGCTAGTCTTTTCATTCTGTTAACAACATCTTTCAAAGAGCAAAACATTTAAATTTTGATCGAGTCCAACTAATCATTTTGTTGTTGTTGCTGCTGTTCCTTTCATGGATTGTGCTTTTGCTGTTGTAGCTAAAATTTCATTGCCAAACCCAAGGTCCTGCACATTTTCTATGTTTACCTAAAAAATTTCATTGTGTCACTTTTTACATTTAGGGGTTTGATCCATTTTGAATTAATTTTTATATGAAATATAAGCTATGTATTCTTCAATATACCTTGTTTTATTTTTGTTATTGTTTTTGTTGTTTTGCATATAGACAATCTTATTTTTGTACCATTTGTTGAAAAAAACATCATCTTTCCATTGAATTTAATTTGCATCTTTATAAAACGTTAGTTGACTACACCTTAGTAGCTCTATTTCTAGACTCTCTATTTTGGTCCACTGTTCCATGTGTCTATGTTTCCACAAATATCATTCTGTCCTCATTACTGCAGCTTTACGTTAAGTCCTAAAATCAAGTAGTATGAGTCCTTCAATTTTGTTCTAAATAGCTTTGCCTATTCTAGTCCCTTTACCTTTTCATATAAGTTTTAGGATCCTCTTATTGATATTTCCAAACAATTTTCTGGGATTTTAAATGGAATTCAATTAAATCTATAGATTAAATCTTAATAATACTGAATCTTCAAATTCATGAATATGGTATATCTTTTCATTTACTCAGGTCTTCTTTAATTTTTCACTTATAATTGTCAGCATATATATTCTGCACATATTTTGTTAGGTTTCAATTTAAGTACTTCATTTGTGTTTGTGTACTATTGTAAACGTTTCTTTTTATTTCATATTCTCATTTTCTATTTTTAGTATATAAGATTGTAAATGACTTTCATATATTTACCTCATTATCTGAAAACTTGCTAAACAAGCATTTTTGAAAAAGAAAAAGACAGTCTGTCTCTATTTTCTCACTGATTGTAAAATCCCTATTTCAAAGCATTTTGAAAAAGATGTTTGAAGAAAAACCTATACATTTTCTCATATTATAGACAATTCACAAGACAAGGTCCACAAATGGCTTCTAAAGATTAAAAAAAGATGCTCAAGCAGCTCGAAATAACAAAAGTTGAAATTGAAACTCTGCTGAAAACTTACATTTCATCTCTGATATTGACAAATATTGAAACATTTGATGACACAGTGACTATCTTCCTGATACAAGCCCATGTGAAAGGCAATTTGGCAAATATCTAGCAAAATTACAAAATTATACCCATTGATCCAGCAAGATATTCTTGGAAAGGTAAATGACACATGTATAAAATTACTGGTTGTAATATGTTTATAATAGAAGAATAAAATAATGTAAGTGTGCATCAATATTAAATTGGCCAAGTATGTTATGTTGTATCTGCACAGTATGATGCTATATGAACTTACAAATAGATTTCAACAAAACCTTTGCATTACTGGCAGATGGAATTTGAGAAAATATAATAATTAGTTAGGTGCAGCCAACAATAAAGTTCTACTTAGATCTACATATTCCAATGAGAATTCATTTCAAATGTGTCACTAAATCTGAACATTGAAATAAATAGACCTTGAAAACAGCTCTTTAGTTATTGATTCACAAGATGTTAGGCCAAATTTTTCAAAAATGATGAAATCATATTACAAAAATATTTTATTAATAATAATTTGACTATAGCAAATAAATGTGCTGTTAATAAATTTTCATGTCAATTTCACCTCTATGTTGCTCATTTTTAAATTTTAGTTATGAGTATATTGATAATTTATGTAGCATATTAGCACAGATGTACAGAAGTGTGATTTATAATATAATACACCTCTAAAGGGGATACATGCTTAACTTTGTTTATTTTATTAATGGTGTCTGTGATAAAGTTTGCAGACTGTTGACTTAGAGAAGAGCTCTCACCTGGCCAAGAGGCCCTGGCCAAATTGTGTAGTGAGGAGGTTGTTGAGGGGAAGAGAGGTGATACAGTTTTTAGTCCCAGGAAGTAGAATTCTAGCATCTCTAGGTGGTGAGAAACAAAGGTGTTAAGAATTGTTCTTTCTCTAACATTCTAATGAAAGGTTCTTGAGCTAGGAAAGGATTACTCGTGCCTCGTAGGAATCAGACATGGCTTCAGGGGATGCGGGAAGCTCACCTGAGCTGCCAGTCACAGAATGAGTAAGTAGAGTCGTGCTTCTTCCACAGACTCACCTGAGAAGTCAGCCTCTGGGGCAGGCACCAGGAATCTGCATTTTCAGTAAGGCCTAAATTACTCTGATGCCACCTGTCCCAGAGAACCAGCAATGGCAGGTTCTTGAAGGATGTAGAACATGATGCTTGGGGTTACTATTGCTGTGGGTTTTCTTTTGACTTGTTTGAGATCAGTAACATTCTAAGTCAGGGGATAGAAACCCACTTTATTTGTGAGCTCTGCATTTTTTTGTTTTGATTTGTATTTTTGAAACAGGGTCCTACTCTGCTGCCCAGGCTGGAGTTCAGTGGCATAATCACAGTTCACTATGGCCTTAACCTCCAAGCCTCAAATAATCCTCCCACCTCAGCCTCCCAAGTAGTTAGGACCACAGGCACACACCACCATGCCTGGCTGATTTTTGTATATTTTGTAGAGACAGGGGTCTACCTTTGTTGCCCAGGCTGGTCTCAAACTCCTGGCTTCAAGTGATCTGCCTGTCTGAGCTTCACAAAGTGCTGGGATTACAGGCATCAGCCACCGTGCCCAGCCTGAGTTGTGCATCTTAAACCTCATTTGTCTGCCTCTCACAGCTTAACACAATTCTGTATGCCACAAACTGGCATGCGTGCTTTCTCTGAAAAGGGCCAGATAATAATATGTTAGGCTTTGTGGTCTATACAGCCTCTAACACAACTACTCAACTCTGCCACTGTAGTTGGAAATCAGCCACCAGTGATATATTACCAAATGGGTGTAGCTATGTTTCGATAAAACTTTACATACTAAAGCAGGCCTGGTTTGCCCACCTTGCTATTCACATTTGTAATGTACATACCCCTTATGAAGTGCAGTTTCTTACCTTATTGCTTAGTCACCTTAGAGCCCTGTTTGTTACTCAGTGTGGTGGCCTTGCTGGTGAATACTAGCCCTGTTTTGGGCCTAGGCTTTCAATGCAGGAATCCAGCCCCAGGGAGAGAAACCGATGACTGGAGAAGTTTCTAGGCATGTGCAGAAAATGACACAGAATGAACACATGGATGAACATCCAGTTCAGGATCCCGAGCAGGTGTCAGAAATTTCACTTCACCTTATTCCAGCAAGGCTGTCATATTTGGGGAAGACATTATTCCAAGAGAGGAAGAGACTGTGGGAAATCAGTAGGCAGCAGGAGACAGCACTCTTGATCCTACTCCCATTTCACATGGTTCCGGGGGGGGCCTTCTTTATGCCCCTCTGCTCCCCCAGGGGCTGTCCTCCTTTCCAGAGACATGGTCATCCATCCCTCTTGCTCCCCAATCAGGTGCCGGGCTTTTAGGAGGCCCCCAGGCACTGGTGGTGAAGCCCAGCAAAACAGTGCATTTGCCATCTCAGATAAAACATTGGTATTTTGGAAGCAATGTGCCCACATCTGGAAATGAATCAAGAAAAGAAAATGAAAGATTAGGTGCTTCATCTTCACCCTTCAATAAACCCCCAAACAATAAATCTTCAAGTCGTCCATACAGCCCCATGGGTCTTTCATCTCTGAATGAAATGGGGTGTCTATTTCTACACAACCAGTTGATCCTTGAATAAATGCAGGGTCAGGGGCGGATGCTAAACCCTGCCCAGTTGAAAATCTGCATGTGACTTCCGACTCCCCAGAAACTTAACGACTCATACCCTACTGCTGACCTCATAGCTTACTGCTGACTGGAAGCCTCACCAATAACATAAACAGCCAATAAGCACACATTTTATGTTCTATGTCTTCTGTACTGTACTCTTACAGTAAAGTAAGCTAGAGAAAAGAAAACGTTATTTAAAAAGCGTAAGGCAGAGAAGACGTGTTTACTCTCAGTTAAGTGTAAGTGGATGATCATAAAGTCCTTCATCCCGGTTGTCTTGTCGCTGAGCAGGCTGAGGCATGGGTGGAAGGGGAGGGGCTGGTCTTGCTGTCTCAGGGGTGGCAGAGGCAGAAGAAAATTCCCAAAAAATGAACCCATGCAGTTCAACCCATGTGTGTTCAAGGGTCCACGGTATAGGGAATGTTTCACCCTTGTATTCTACTTTCTAATCATAGAATTAAAATAGAAATCCTAAAAATTTCACCTGGATGTGTATTAAGGAGGCTTAATTTTTTCACTTGCTGAATCCTGAGAGCACAACGCTGACTTGGAAGTCGCTGCAGGGAAAAGCATTAAGGAAAGAGCCTGCAGTCGCGTTCCTTCCCTGGACTGTGGAGTGGCCAGTTTGCCCTGATGGTGACTCTGAATGACCAAAGTGACAGGCAGCATCTAGGCAGGGCTGTGCACAGTCTCTGGGCTGGATTTCCAAGTTCCCGAATCAAGATCATCTGACCTGGTCTCCTGCTCTTTGGCAGGTTCTGTCTCCAGCAGGCTTTGAGGATGAAGGCTGTGGGCCTTTTGACCCTGACTGGCTGCTTGGTCACAGGCGCCGAGTCCAAAATCTACACTTGCTACAAACTGGCAAAAATATTCTCGAGGGCTGGCCTGGACAATTATGGGGGCTTCAGCCTTGGAAACTGTGAGATTCTTTCTTTCCTGATCTCTTTCTGTCCTTGACCTCTGCCCTGAGATGCTGAAGGTCCTGGCCACACTCCCTGCTGCGTCTTCCCAGTGGTTCATGCCCTGCCCCCACCGCACCAGCGGTGGCTGCTAGCCTAACTGTGGCTCTCTGGGTCTCCTCTCCTTCCTTCCCTGCCCCTCATTTCCTTATTCCTGGAGTCCTGTCCTCAGGTCACCATCAGGGAAGGGGAAAATAATGCCACTTCTGCTGGCACTGTGGGGAAGGGGGACCTGACTTTTGTCTAGGCTCAGGCCTGACTGGGTGTCCAGCTTCAGGTGCACCCTCCCAGCCCCCATGTGCCCCTCAGGGTGCCTGCCTGCCCTGCCCTGCCCCGAGGTGTGTTGAGAGGAAGCAGTCAGGGAACAGCAATCAGGAAACGCCTCCTCAGACCAGGCTTAGAGCCAGCGATGCACTTCCTCTGCTGGCCTTTCTGGCTTTGCCCCTCCAGGGATCTGCATGGTATATTACGAGAGCGGCTACAACACCACGGCCCAGACGGTCCTGGATGATGGCAGCATCGACTACGGCATCTTCCAGATCAACAGCTTCACCTGGTGCAGACAAGGAAAGCTGCAGGAGTGGAACCACTGCCACGTCGCCTGCTCAGGTGAGGCTCTGACTTTCCTATGAGACCGGGGGAGAAAGCTGACAATAGAATCGCCACCCACGTTTTGCTTTAACTAAAATTTGAAGTTCAGACTTGCAAATACATCTGTTCCAGATTGGTAAATTATGCAACGGTTTCCAAGGTGGCACTCAGGATCCTGCGGCTGACTTGTCCAAAGATGACTTATTCCTTGTAGGAGAGTTTTTATGAAGCCCTCCATTAAAGCAGGGGGATGGACAAACGACCCTACTGCCCTTTCAGGTTACAGGTATTTGATGTCTCCAGTAAGAAAAAGGAAGCTGCTGCCAGCTGCTTTCCATAAGCAATTTGCTCAAAGGATGCAGTTTGTAATTCTTTGTGCAAATTGAGGTGAATACACTTTAAGTTTCTTTCTCTTTTTTTTGAGACAGGGTCTCACTCTGTTGCCTAGGCTGGAATGCTGTGTTGTGATTACAGCTTATTGCAGTCTCGACCTCCAGGGCCCAAGCAATCCTCCCTCCTCTGGGGAGCTAGAACTACAGGCACAGGCCTGGCTGTTTTTAAATTTTTTTGTAGAGACATAATTTGGCTATGGAGTCTCACTATGGGGTCCCACCTAGGCTGGTCTTGAACTCCTGGCCTAAGGAGATCCTCCTGCCTCAGCATCTCAGAGTGCTAGAATTATAGATGTGGGCCACTATATTTAGCTAGCCACCTGTCTTAAATATTAGACATTAAACTGGAACTCACTTCCACGTTTTTTACTTTATTCATTCTAGAAATACATATGAGCACAGCATTGAGGATAACAAAATACATCAGCATGAATCCTGCTTTACCAAACTTCCATGTGACATGAAAGAAAAGAGAATCTGTGCTTACACGAAGTTAAATGATGTGAGCAGGAATGCACTGAGTGTCATGGGCGTCAGAGGAAAGCGACAGTATTAACAAACCATGGAAAGTTCTGTAAACACAGTGATATTTGACCTGAGACTTAGAAGATGGGAAAGATTTGAATAAAGAGAGAGAAAAGTTGTCCCAGGCCAGGGGAACAGCAAAAGCAAAGAGGTGCCTGTGGGAGGGTGCGGGGCATGAACAGAGAGTAAGGAGAGGCTTTTTTTTCTGTAACAAAGTGACATGAAGAGGAATCACAGGAAAGGCAGGTAGAGAGGGTAATGATCACCTGAGCGTGAAGGGCCTGGAAAGCCAGGCTCAGAGGCTTGCACTGATTTCTGCCTGCAAGAAGAAGCCAAGAGAGGTCAGTTAACTTAAGCATTGCTTCAGCAGGATCAACCTGCAGGTGGGGTGTGGGACGGATGACAGCAGAGGCCGTTTAAGTGTCACTGTAGTTATCGAGCTAAGTGCCACCACTTAAGTGTCACTGCAGTTATTGAGCTAAGTGCCACCGTTTAAGTGTCATTGCAGTTATTGAGCTAAGTGCCACAAAAAGACTGAATGATGGTCGAAGTTGGTGATAGGAGAAGACTGACGCCAGAGATGCTGAACAGAGAGGACAGAGCTCAGTTGAAGTCATCTTCTCTGTGCTCCCTCTAGAGTATAAGTCCCTTGCGGGCAGAGAGTTCTGTTTCATTCACTGATGTATCCTCAATGCCTAGAATGGTGTCTGGCCATTGCAGGAGCTCAGTAAATGTTTATTGAATAAATGGAGAGGATGAGGAACAAGAGTGAAGTCAGAGAGTTGTAAAATATTCTATTGCAAATTCTTTCAGGGCAGAAAATAATTTTAACTTCTCTTTGCCACATCCAGGAGCCTCCACTTATTGAAGGGGGAATGTATCCCAAGATTCCCAGTTGATGCTGAAACTGCAGATAATACCTAACCCTGTATATACTGTAATTTTTTCTATATGTAGATACTGATGACAAAGTGCAAGTTATAAATTGGGCACACTAAGATGTTATCAACAATCAGTAATAATGGAATAATTATAATAATATGCTGTAATAAAAGGTATGTAGGTGCTTTCTCTCTCTCACTCTCAAAATGCTATATTAATAAAAATAACCAACCCCTGTTGACTGTAAATGAAAATTTAGAAAATGAAGTAATCAGTATATTGGTTTAAATGTTTGAATGATTGAATAACATGTCAGTTTACCTAGTACATTGTCCCTCCGCTAACATTAATAAAGAATGATCACTACATCTCCTGATTATTAGCCCTTAATTTAGAACATTGCTTTGTTAGGCCAAAATCTATCTTTTTCTAGCCTTCTATACCAATCCTAGTTTTTCCTCCTGGATTTATTCAAAATAAATTTGTTTTATGTTACACATAAAAACGTATTAACTGTATGCAAATGATTTATAAGTATCTCTCATCTCCAATTTCTCATCTTCTGAGCTAAAGCATTCAGTATATTCACTTTCCCGTAGGCATGACTCTTGAACCCTTCCCTGTCCTGGTCAATCTTATTAGCCTTCCCTAAGAGCTCACCAATGGAGTCTTTCAGTCAAATATGAGGATTAAATGTGTGCATTTAACTCCCATGGTGGGCTGACCCCACCTTCCAAATGTCCACTCTCTAATCTCTGAAACCTCTCATTCGGTTATCTTACATGGCAAAAGGAACTTTGCAGATGTGAGGAAGGATCCGAGCCTGGGCAGGGGAGATTATCCCTGACCATGTGAGTGAGCCAATCTAATCTCATGAGTCTTTAAAAGCAGAGAATCTTGCCCAGCTGTGGTCAGAGACAGATCCAATGACAGAAGAAGGAAGAGAGATTCAGAGTGTGAGAGGGTCTCAACCCACCATTGCTGGCTGTGAAGATGGAGTAAGGCGCCATGAGTCAAGGTGTGTGAGTGGTCCCTAGAAGCTGGGCATGGCCCTCAGGTGACAACCTGCAAGCAACAGGGATCTCAGTTCGACACCCATAAGGAACTGAACTCTCCTGAATCCCAAGTGAGCAAGGAAATGGATCTTCCCCCAGAGCCTCCAGAAAAGAAAACACATCTGTCAGCACCTTGACTTCAGCCCTGTGAATTCCCATCATTCTTCTAGCCTAGAGAACTGTCAGCAATTTTTGCGGTGTTTAAGCCACTAAGTTTGTGTTAATTTATTAGCGCAGCAATAGAAACCCAATACACCTTTCCTCCCTCTTGGAGTCCTACTAAATTAACACTAAAGGGATTCAAGAATCAATAAGATAAAAAGACAAATCCACAAATACAGGATAAACGGAAGAGGAAACTATACCAAAACATTTAGAAGCTGGAAAGCAGGAGGCAAGTGGTGACTAATTTAGTGATTTAAGAAATCTGAATCCTAAACCAGCAGTGGAAAATCTGAGAAGCAAACACGGAACCAACATAACAACAAAGCTCAGAAATCAGTAGCGTCAGCTACTTCTGGAAGTTAGAGTGAAGATAAATTTAAAGTTCCATTAAGGAATAGTTAGAACATCCAGTCCCTTCTTGAGGCATTCATCTACTGACTGCCCCTCACCCTGGCAGAATACTGAGACTTCTCCCTCTAGATGAATGAAGTAGAAAACCTCTCAAATGAGAGTCCTCAACAGCCTTTGAGGATGAGAGCTCCAGACCACAGACATGGGAAATTAAGTTACAGCTTCTGTAGTCCCAACCACCTTCTCCACTCAGATTTCACAATGACAGCAGCCAGGACTGACTCGCCAGATGAGATTTTCTTCTAGGGATCTGGCCAAATTGAAAGGAAATAACTAATGATTCTGAGTGGGACTCCCCAGTGAACAAGATTGGTTAAACCTCCCTGCAGTGAAAATCCCCACCTCTGAGCACAGGGCTCTGCCAGCTTTTAGTGTCCCTCTCTTAAATAGTTGCAGAGAGCCAGGGATCACCAGACTTCAGAGGAATGGCAGTGACATGAAAAAAATGAGGCAAAAACCAAACAGATAAAACTTTTTGAAAGCAGAAGTTATGCAAGGAAATGAAAACTTTGAATTCAGAAAACTATCATTAATATCTTCAGACAGGTAAGAGAGGAGGCTTAGATGAAACAAAGCAAGATGCCTTTTTTGAAAACGATAAAGGAAACTTAGGCCGGGCGCGGTGGCTCACACCTGTAATCCCAGCACTTTGGGAGGCTGAGGTGGGCAGATCACGAGGTCAAGAGATCAAGACCATCCTGGCCAACATAGTGAAACCCCATCCCTACTAAAAATACAAAAAAATTAGCTGGGCATGGTGGCGTGCACCTGTAGTCCCAGCTACTTGGGAGGCTGAGGCAGGAGAATTGCTTGAACCCGGGAGGTGGAGGTTGCAGTGAGCCAAGATCATGCCACTACACTCCAGCCTGGCACCTGGTGACAGAGCAAGACTCTGTCTGAAAAAAAAAAAAAAAAGAAAAAGGAAACTTTCAGAGAACCAAATAAAGAGCCTTTGAAAATCAACAATATGATAACAGAAATGAAAAACTCAATAAAGAACAAAGTAATAAGAAGATAACATTGAAGAAATCTCTCTAAAAGTGGAATGAAAAAAAGAAAGAGATAAGTGGAAAATAGGAGAAATAAGAATGATAAAAGAAATGGGTATAAAAATATGTTTTAGCAGGAGAGAAGAGAAACAGTAGATAGGACACAACGTTTAAAAAACATTTCCAGAACTAAAGAGCGTGTGATTTCCATTTGTAAGTTTCATCACATAACCAGTACTGCAGTCACCCCTTGTCTATTGTTTTGCTTTCCATAGTTTTAGTTACTCATGGTCAACTGTGACTCAAAAGTATTAAAGGAAAATTCCAGAAATAATTAATAACTTTTAAATTGCATGCCATTCTGAGTAGTGTCATGAAATCTTGCACCATTCTGCTTTGTCTCACACTGGATATAAATTATTCCTTTGTCCAGTATATCCACACTGTATACACTACATGCCCATTAGTTACTTAGTAGCTGTCTCAGTTATCTGGCTTAAAAAAAAAACATAGCATATATAGAATTTGGTACTATTCATCATTTCAGAAATCAGCTGGGAGCCTTGGAATGTATCCCTCTTGGATAAAGAAAAACTACTGTACAATTGATTATTCTATGCTCACACTCAGGAGCATCCTCATCCAATTTCAGAACACTATAGAAAAACAGAATTTGCAACAGGCTTCCATTTGAAAAAGAAAATGTCCCATACAAAAAACTCAAGCATCAGAGTGACATCAGACTTCTCAACCACAACACTGGAAGCTAGAAGAAAATGGAAAAAAGTCTTCAAAACTCTGAGGGAAAACAATTTCCAATAAAAAATTCCGTGCTACCAAATTATCAATACATTTTGAGCATAGTATGAGTACATTTTCTGAGAATCAAGTTGTTAAATTTTTTGCCTCCTGTATCATCAAGAATCCTGGCTGGAAGACAGAACAAACACAAATTGGGTAACTGGAGGAGAATGTTAATGAAGACTCTACTTTCAAAAATCTGATCAAATCATAGAAAAAACATGGCAGTAGTGAAGTGAGGGATAGGAATCACAGGCCATTACTACCCCCTTTCCCAGAAAGGAATGAGCTTTTATTATAGATTCCTAGCTACACCTCATTATGGTCAGAGACTATGGTCTACGTCAGTGGCCCCCAACCTTTTTGGCACCAGGGACGTTTGTAGAAGACAGATTTTCCATGGACCAGAGGGAGGAGGATGGTTTCAGGATGATTCAAACACATTACATTTATTGTCCACTTTATTTCTATTATTATGATAGTGTAATATATAAGAAATAATTATACAACTCACCATAATGTAGAATCAGTAGGAGCCCAGAGCTTATTTTCCTGGAACTAGACAGTCCTTTCTGGGGATGATGAGAGACAGTGACAGATCATCAGGCATTAGATTCTCATAAGGAGCGTGCAACCCAGATGCCTCACAGGTGCAGTTCACCAAAAGGTTTGCACTCCTATGAGAATCTAGCGCAGCCTGTGATCTGGCAGGAGGTGAAGCTCAGGTGGTAATATAAACAAGGGAGAGTGGCTGTAAATACAGACGAAGCTTAGCTCACCTGCCCGCTGCTCACCTCCTGCTGTGAGATTTGTTCCTAACAGACAATGGACTGGTATTGATCCATGGTTTGGGGGCTGGGGACCCCGGGTCTATATGGTTTCAAACCTCTAATATGTCTTTAACCTTATTTTACAGCACAGCAAAGGCGTCTTATGGTGAATGTACATTTGAAAAAAAAAGTGTATTTTATATTTGGTGGGTAGATGTTCTATGAATGACGGTTATTTCCTTTTTGATTTTCTTACTTAGAACTTACTAGATAGTTCTTAGTAGAACTATCATACAGTGAGAGATACATATTGACATTTGCAACTTTCATTTTAGTTTTTTCTATTTCTCCTTTCAGTCTTGTCCATTTTTGAAGCTTTGTTATTAGGCACATATTCATTGAGGACGGTTATGTCTTCGTGGTGAATTGACCCTTTTCTCACTGGAGTCCACGTTTCTCCTTAACTCTGGTACTATTTCTCATCCAGAAATCTACTTTGCCTGATGCAGTATAGCCCACTCTTGCTTTCTTTGGGGAAATCTTTGCATAATATGTTTCTTCTTTCCATCCTTTTACTTTTTTTTTTTTTCCATCCTTTTACTTTTAACTCATCTGTGTCTTCATATATAAAGTAAATTTCTTACAGGTAGCATGTAATTATGTTGTTTTTATATCTATTCTGATAATTACTGCTTTTCAGTAGGAGTGACTAAACCATGTTTTCCTAAAGGGCCAAATAGTAAATATTTTAGGCTTTTCAGGTCATATGGTTTCTATTGCGACTACTCAACCATTACAGAGTGTGAAAGCAGCCATAGACAGTGTGTAAATGAATGGGACTGGCTGTGTTCCAATAAGGCTTTATTTACAGAAACAGGAGGTTGGCCTGTGGGCCATACTTTGTGGAACCTTAATTAGATCATTTACCTTTATTGTGATTATTGATAGGGCTAGTTTTAAATGCTATCTTGCTATTCTGTTTGTGCCATCTATTCTTGGTTACATTTTTCTGCCTTCTTTTGAATTTTTTAAAATATATTTTATTATTATTTTTTATTTCCCCCATTGGTTTGTTAGCTATACCTCTACTTTGTTTTCAGTAATTACTCTAGGGTTTCCAATAGCCATCATTATCTTATCACATTCTACCTTCAAAGAGCACACCACAGGCTGGGTGCGGTGGCTCAAGCCTGTAATCCCAGCACTTTGGGAGGCCGAGGCAGGTGGATCATGAGGTCAAGCAATCGAGACCATCCTGGTCAACATGGTGAAGCCCTGTCTCTACTAAAAATACAAAAAATTAGCTGGGCATGGTGGCGAGTGCCTGTAATCCCAGCTACTCAGGAGGCTGAGGCAGGTGAATTGCCTGGACCCAGGAGGCGGAGGTTGTGGTGAGCCAAGATCGCGCCATTGCACTCCAGCCTGGGTAACAAGAGCGAAACTCCATCTCAAAAAAAAAAAAAAAAAGAAAGAAAGAAAGAGCACACCACTTCATACGTAACATACGAGTTTCTTAACAGTATTCTTTAATTTTTCCTATTCCATCCTTTGTGCCATGTTATCATGCATTTTTCTTCTACGTTTATATTCCTCCCAATGCATTTTTACTATTTTTGCTTTAAACAATTGTCTTTTAAATAGTTTTTTAAATGAGGAAAAAGGTTCTATAATATTTATTACATATTTACTATTTCCAATACTCTTCATTCCTTCGGTGGATTTATTTGGGGAGGTAGTTAATTGATATCACTTCCCTTCAGCTAAAAAAATTTCTTTAACTTCTTTCTGGTTTTGGTTTTGTCTTTTTTTTAGGGTAGAGGTCTACTAGCAAGTGTTCTCTCTGCTTTTGTTTGTTTGAAAATATCTCTATTTTATTTTGATTTTAAGGAACATTTTCTTTACATATAAAATTCTGGGTTGACAGTTGTTCTTCTCTCAGTTATTGTTGTTTTGAGACAGGCTCTTGCTCTGTCACCCAGACTGGAGTGCAGTGGCATGATCACAGTTCACTGCAGCCTCAACTTCCTGGGCTCTAGCAGTCCTCC